TAGTGTCAGGCTGCTTTATTGCCCAGCGAAAGGTCCTGTCACCCCTCTGAAAGGATGCGCTACCTTGGCTGAAGACCGAGTTCTGTCAGAGAGCTAGATAATGTAGCCATCTGCAGAAAAGAAGACATACCAAACAAAGAAACTTCTCAGCTGTTTCCAAATGGCAGGCAGATGTTTCCAGTCTCCACTACAATTTAAATTAAGAAACTGTACTCTTCATGTACTCTCTAGAAGATGAGAGTTAAGAGGTGGCTGCAATGAGACGGTCCACGCTTTTTCAATGCTTGGCGCTAGTGACTGCACAACAAATATCAGCAATATAAACATGCATAACTAGGATGTGCCAATAATATTGCTGAATGGCACCTAAACTGGGTGGCTGATAAGGATACAAGCAGTACGTTTACTTCTTGCCTTTAAGAATAGTGAAAATGGTGCCCAGCAGTTTCCACACCATTGCCTTTCAGTCTTTGTAATTAGAAAAAAATTAAAAAAAACAGTTGAAGTAAAAAATATTCTCATGGAGTACGGCTAAACAATATGCAAAAAAATCATATTGTGATTAGTTTGGTAGATATTGTGATTGCGATATGAGTCACAATTTAAAATTTTTGATTATAAAAATGATGATGGTGTTATTTTTGTTCAGATGTGTATCGAACAAGCATGTTCCTTTATGTCTGGAGAATATGATTTGTAGGCAGAGGATATCTCTGGAGCACAACAATGCTTCATTTACGGTCTGTTGACACATTTTACCTTTATCAAAAAATTGCAGCTCCTGCCTTTTGGATAGTGCACTTAGCCACATTGTGATTTCAAAAATATTTTGATTAATTTTGCAACCCTATCATGGAGTAAAAGTGGAGGGAACCCACAGAGAAGTAAGAGGGGCTGCAATGAATACTCATAATTCATAATGACCAGAAAAGGTTGACTAACATTTTTTTTTTCATGCAAATATGCTGACTTGCTTCCTGGTGTCTGTTTCCCTAATGCCTCAGATTTTTGCTTTTATCTGTTATGGCATTGTAAACTGAGTTTCTTTGGATTTTGGACTACTACTACTACTACTTACTACTACTGGTAAGATGGAACAAAATCCATGACTCGGAGAGAGTGTAATGGACGTTTCTAAAATTTTCTGACTGGATCTGGATCTGCCCCAAAATGTAAAAAAGATCTTCCCTGCCCAATGCCCCATCCCCCCACCAAATTCTGGGCAAATCGGTTCAGTACTTTTTGTGTAATCCTGCTGACAATTACACAAACACTGGTGAAAACATAACCTCCTTGGTGGAGGTAATAATCAGCACATTAATCAAAACTAAAACCAATAGTCACTTGCATTATTACTCTTCAGACAGTAAGCTGGCATTTTGTCTTGCCTGCAAACATCACACACTGACAGCTAGTGGTGAGACACAGCTACTCAACACCTTTCCATGCTTTCTTCTGAGAGATACATAAAAGCCTCTTGCTCATGTCAACCCAATTTGATTGACTTTTTAGGCAGTATCTGCAGTTTTCCCTCTCCAATGTGCAAGTCCATTGTCCATTTAAAATAGGCTTATAGATATGATAGGTCCTGATTAGATGCCGAAGGTTTTGCAAATTTACAGAAGTCACTGGGTAGTTTTAGATTAATGGCAACTGTTTAGCCCTGGTGCCAAGTATATCAAATTATTATTATTCACGCTATGATTAATTTTGACCTCCAATAAGACGGGTAGCAGTTCCAAATTCTTGGTGTCTTTCAAGAAATCCTTTTTTATGAGGTAGAAACTTTTTGTTCTCAACTACAATCCAGTGGTTAGGAATGTCACAGCAAATTTATAGAAGTGAAAATGGCTTATATTAGAGCTGTAGTCTTCCCGAAATGTACCTGTTACATACCCAGGGGGCTGGCGTGCTTCCAGACAGTCCTAATAGTTGATAACTATAATAATTGATGACCACTATAAAATATTTTCTTGGACTTGGGATCTATAAAACTCTATCTTGAAGAATACATCAATTATAAATACAATTCAACTCATCACATCAAACAACCATCCAGCAAATGCCTAGATTTCTCTGTCAACCACTAACCACATACACAAATCAGAGCTTGAACAACATTGGGACACATGTTTGCAGAATATATATAAAACCTTACAGGTGTAATGAGAGGGTGGTGTGCCATCATCTGATAACTTACGTTGAATTCCTGTTAAACAGTCCAACTTGTTCATATAATGGTGCAAAGTTGCTCTGCAGGTAAGACTGGGGAAGAGGCAGACCCTTGGGGCTAGTTCCTAATACTCAGCCCTACCATGGCAGCAGTTTTTCTCAGCTTTTAAGCTATGTTATGCACATTTACCAGACAATGAATTTGCAGCAGAGAGGCTGGATGTTGGAGCAAAACAAATCTTCCACAATATTTTGTCAGATAACTTTTAATATGAACCATTCAAGCATGTTGCTGAATGAGAGAAGGGCTGAACCTGACCTAGTGGTGAGAGATTATCTTTTCAGTCTGACAACACAGGTTGAAATGCTTGTGCTGTCAAAAATCTGAACTGCTTAAGTGTCAATGAGCAAGGCACTAAATCCAATCCAACTCCAATGATACAGAGGTAGCAGTTCTCTCTGCAAGGACGAATTGCTCTGAGGGGATCAGATCACAATATTTGTATAATGCCAGGTTTATAAATGTGCAGGGGTCTTGAGTTTACTCAAGAAACAACCCAAGAGGTAAGAGGGACAAATCATCACTATACGACCCCTGGAGATACACGGTAAACCTTTCATTCACCTGTATCTCTGAGGTGTTATAACGGGTAAGCATTATTATGTTTTTTAAGTTTACTTTTAACCCTACAAAACAGAAAAGTTGCGAGTAAACTCTCCCTGTTGAGTACTAAGCACTCCACTAAGCTCTGTATCTCTCGTGTGATACAGAGGCAGTGAGTTTGCAGTTTTTTTCTCTTACACTAATTGCAGCTTATGGTATTTTTATGGTCACCTATGGAAATAATCAAATAATCTTACAGGAACTTAATGTACAGTTTTCCTGCGATATGACTCCCACTGAAGTGACTGATGTCTACCACTGTAGATCTTTACCTCATGTATCCATCCTCTTGAAGCAGCAAAGACTGTGTAGAGTGAAGCCTAAATAGACATGCATTTTATTGCAAGTTGACAAATCCTCTCTATGTCCCGTCCTTACCTGGGCCGTCTGATCCCGAGAGAGGTGAATTAAGCTTGGGTCGCTTTGCAGTGGGGGGTCCGACATCCAGCAGATTGTCAGCCATCCTGGTCGGCAAATGTTATGAATGGATGATGATGATGCAAGAAAATAACAGCAGGATCAGTCCAACTTGTCGGCCTCTGGCTCGTAATTACGACTAACTTTTCCTAACGTTGGGCGTAAAAGAGCAATTTAACTGTTTTTTTTTTTTTTTTTTTTTCTTGACTGGCAGACTGGCGAAATGCTGCCTGGAGAAAAAGGTTTCAAAAGAAAGGCAACAGCGCCACGCTTCGCCGCCGAAGATCACCCCATGATAATCCAACACCCAACACCCACATAATTATCCTTAATAATTACGTCCAAAAATTATTTCAGTTCGAGAAAAATAAATAAAAATCATTCATAAAATATTAAACAAAGCGTAAGAAAATCCCTTTCTCCGCAGATCGCCGGTTTCACGTCTGTACAGAATCATTTTTTTCGCAGTCGAAACGAGCAGCCATAAAATCTACTTTGGGCTTAAATAAAAAGAGCAAAATTCAAAAAATATTTTCTATGAGGTGGATTTTTTTTCTCGTCGCTGTCTCCCGGTAAATACAGCGTCTCGGGACGGAGATACGGCGAGAAGCGGCGCTCTCTAAAAGGGAAATCAAATATACAGTGGGCTTTCGAGACGATAAAAACCCATGTAATCCTCACATGTTTGCATTAATTCTCATCGGAAGAACTAACACTTCGATTTTCTGCACGAAAAAAGCCGTTTGAGCCCGGTCTAGGTAGCTCCGATCGGTTTTTAAAATTAATGCTCCCCCCGAAATCCCGATTCTGAGCCGCGTCAAGATGGCGGCTGTTGATTCCTCCGATACAAAAAAAAGTTTTTTTTTCTTCCCAGCTAGACTGAGGGGGGAGGAGGGGGAGGTGTCGTGCTATGACGCCCTGACGTAAACCTGTGTGTCCCACCGTGCGTCATGTGTACGTACGCGAAGTTGCCTCTAGAGGTGGAATAACCCACAAAATAAGAAAAAATTGACATTTTCTGTGCTCCACCTGTTTTAAACTTTACAAAAAAATAATGACTAAAAATAAAAAAATACTAATTTGAAAAGAAAATAATAATGCATTCTCGAAGTTAGAATGCAAACAATACTTTACAATCCCTTTATTCCTATCATATTACTCATGGTGAAAAGTAAAAAAGTGCATTTATTCAAGTCATTTTGAGGTAGTATTATTAGGATAGTAAAATACTGCGGTTTTATACTATTTTATAGATTATTTTTACAGGAAAATATTTTTACATTTAATCTCACTTTATATGTTTTGAATGAAAAACAAAAACTATAACTCTCAAATAAATAAACATGTTGTAAAATGTGATTCATTGCTATATTAGACTACTTAATAGTATATTTTGATTGTCTCAACATTGAAATGTATTGGTAATAATCAGCTTTTTGATAATACATTTTTGTATAATTTTAAATGAAGGAGTCATACTTTTAAAGGAGTATTTGTCATACCCTGTAGAAGTATACAGATCCTTTATTTGAGTAGAAATACCAGTCACTAAAAAAAAATAAAAATTAAAAAAAAACTCCATTAGAAGAAAAAAAAAAACTTTAATCCATAGTTTATTAAAATGAAAGCATACTAATATAAGCAAAATATGTTCCTACTTAAATTATAAATAAATGTTTAATGCTGTATCTGGTTTGGAGTGCAGTTAATTTAAACTATTTTATATTATGTTGGGTAGTTTCATTTTGTATAAACTGATCTAATGTTTTATATAAAATCTTAATCCTCAAAAGTAACATTGTAAGGCAATGGAGAATACATTATAAAACATACAATATAAAACAGCATAACGCAGGAATAATCAAGTTAAGTACAAGTAACTCAACATTCTTAATTACTTGAGAACATGCACTTAATTACAGTCCAGCACTGGTTAACCCACAACATACAGTAGATGTAGTGCACAGGCTATTAATTCAATCGGACAACATTTACCAGCAACTGACTTTATTCAGTTTTAACCTTCACTTGCATACCTATTAGCGTGCTATATACAAAAACATTCCAGAGAAAGCAACAATTCATTAAAACCTGCCTGTAGAAGGCGACTGAGATACTACCTACCTGCAGACATCTTGTAGTGCCTCATCCATTTTATTTGGCCAGTTTGAATTGAAAAACAAGGAAATCTGTATTGATTGAAGCCTTGCTGTCCGAGCATGTCATACTTTTCAAGATGACAAAGCTGACTAAAATGTCCAGGTCACATTCCTGCTAAGATTAGAGCATCCCTTCCAAAACACGCACAACCACACAGTTTTACAAACACTCGTACATTTTTACACACATGCAGGCCAACAGAACACACAAATATTATTCCAACATTGTTAAAATTACCCAGTTCTTTAGACTACTTAATACTCTAGTACATGCACTTATATAAATAATAGAAAATGCTCAGATACTATACAATATAAAGGCATACTGTACATAAAAAGTGAGTGCCTTGTGCAAATGTGTTTTAACAGTGAGCATATAAATGAACTTTCTTAAACGTGCACAACACAACCTGCAAATTAAGAAGGAGATAAGACATAACATACAAAGGAGAAATTCATGAGATGGTAATGACACTCTTTGGCATCAAAGTTTTCCCCGTGTGTCATTCTCCTGGTTCAGAATGTCACTTACATCTCAATAAATCCAACCAAATCGACAGATATGCTCATTTCTGCAGTGAAAGAAAAAACAAAACAAAAAAAACAAGTGGCAACCAGATCTGTGAGTTGACACCTTTGTCTTAATGTTACATTTATCGCAAACAACACTAATCCACGAAAAACTTTCAGTTTAGAAAAAAAACACAATATTCAAAAGAGCTTATCAAAATTATCGAGGAAAAAACAATCTAGCTTATGCGCTTTACCTGACACTCAAGTATCATATCCTCTATTAAGCACTTAACTTTGGATAATAACAACAATAATTATTCTTAATAATTATTATAAGCATCCCTTTATTGTAGTAAAACAAACACAAATTTTGGGCTGGTGCAAGAGTTGTGTGCTCATAAGCGAAAAGAAGCTTATTTTCCCTTTTAAACAAGTGATGTTTAGCTCTTATTGCATTTAACACAACCACACCTCCATCTGAGGAATAAATACAAAATGGACAAAGAAATCCAAATTCTGCAATAAGGTCAACTAATGTAAAAATATGTTTGGTACATTTATATTTAATTGTATATTTTAAGAAAAGGCACTGCTCAAATTTTATGACCTTCAAGCACTAAAGTAAATATTCCCATACCATAACCTTTTGAGTGTCTTAAAAAGTTAAACCAACTTGACACTGAAAAAAAGATAAGAGAAATCAAGTTCAAAGTTAAAAGGCACAAGCTACCCTAATTTCACACATGGACAACAAAGAAAACTAATTATTTCACTGTTAGGGTCATCTTAAAAGCGGCATGACAAAAGAAGACAAACTGATTCTTTGTTATTCTGCAATATTTGTCTTATTTGCTTTGTTACTTAAAAGTAGTGATTATGAAGTGGTAATATAAAGAAATGAGGTTGTTAATCTGCTATACAGGATATTTAAATGCCAAAAATAAGACATTAAAGTGGATTTCATGGTAATACTTTTTTTGCCTCTGAGCACACAATCCTTTTTTGCTAAGAAACAGTAACAGAGAGAAAATGTCACAGCGAGAGATGTATAGTTTAATCAGTTTGATTTCCTTAATAATCTAATATAACAACATGGAATCATTTAAGTCAAAAAGGAAAGGGAGTAAAAACACTTAGGGCTTCATATGAAATACATTTGGTGCACTGGCTTTGCTTTTACAGTGCTATTACATTACGTTTCATGCCATTGCGAGACTGAAGCAGCTAATGCATCCAGCTGTTTGCATTCAGTAATGTCTATCAAATCGCAAAAAAAAATTTGAGAGGGCAGCTTCACATGAATGGTTCAAGTTTTGCGTAACAATAAATACAATAAAACACATTTAGTTTTGATTTGTGACATTCCACTTTGATTATCCATGTCTTAAAAGCACTATTAACTAACACACAGTGTAATCCATTGCAAACCTAGGCAGTTGTTTTGTCTAATTGATCTAAAGTCACGACTAGACACTCTACAGGTACAGCAGTGCCTTGTAGGATCCATTGAAATACTCATCAGCACTAAACACAACCTGACTTCCCACCAGAGCCTGGATCATGGGGGAGGGCACAAACATTAGTAGCAGTTAGCCTCATCTATGGTGTTGCTGTTGCAAGCATGCGTAGCCACCATTATGCCTCAGTCCTGAGGCAATACAAAGATCTTAACTGAGGCCAGAGAAAAAGCTGCCACATCAGCAAACAAGATTTTTTTTTTTTCAACTGCGTTCCTAAATTGTTTGTCATCCTGCAGTTTCACAAAATCAGTCAAGTAACTCATAGGCACCTCTCCTCATTAAACCCTGTATGATCTCACTACACAGATACATACCAACACACACTCACACACACACGCGCGCACACACACACACACACACACACACACACACACACACACACACACACACACACACACACACTGCATACATGCAAAAACAGTCGCACGACACACAGCTTGGCCGTCATCTGCCCTTAGCCTGTATTGATTAGTCTCTGCTGTGCCTTAAATGATGAGTTTTCTGGCTTCCATGAAGAACATGGAAACAGGCTCTGCTGCATTTTAGTGCAGATTTTACTATTAGATATCTTGGAGTGATATCTCATTTCCCTCCACTCAGCATACATTATGAGTCAGCTTTCTTAACTTTTCATTGATAAAAGGCAAAATATCATAGCAAAACATAGTTTACAAAGTAAAATTGTAAAAATAAGAAAAAAGAAAAAGCAAAGCATTTTTTTCCCCAAAAAGTTTGCTAATTTACAGTTTTCCCTTTATGTTCTTCTTCCCTTACTCAAAAAGGCTTAGTCTACACATTATTCTATTCTAAAGGCACTTAAAGACATATGAAAGAAATAATCAAGATTAAAGGTGTAAAGATAATCAAGTAAGTTAATGGGAGACGATGGGATCTGTAGCAGGCAAGAGAAGATTCAGAGTCAGCCATCACATCTTCCCATATTCTCTCTGTTCCTGCCTGACACTCTCTTTGTGGTCCACCCAGCACCCTCCACTGATTATATCAGCCAATCAGATTTACACTAAAACAACCTGCTGCCCGGCTGATGCAGAGAAGAAGCCTGTGGGTGTTTTGATAGGACCAAATATACAGCAATTCTACAAATGCCAACTGGCAGGAACAAGAGCTTAAAGGGTAGATAATTTACTGTAGCATATTCTTACAGTCTGGTAAACTCTCCAATATTACTCTCATCCTCATATTTGTCCTTCTTGATGTCTTTCAGGGACTTTGTTGGATTTTGGGGTGTACCTTGCTGGACTGAGGGTGAGCCGATGAGCTGTTTGTTATTTGCAGAGGGAGGAGGTCCTTCTAGATTTGTAACAGGTATAGATGTCAGGCCACTGTGAGACATGGATCGTCTGGCATGAGAAATCTCTGCGGAGGGGCGTCTTTCGCGGCTGCCTGCCTCTTTCTCATGACCAAGCCCTGTGGTAGTCGAGGAACCAGCGCTGGCACTGGGCACCATAGTGTTGGTAATGCTTGCAGTCATGCCGGTTGTGGGCACCATGCTGGCAATTTCATCAGTGGGCGAGCGCCCAATGCTACCATCTACTTGTGCCCGGATCTCTGGTGAAACTGAGAGTTGGTACTGAGGCACAGGGCCGCTGTCACTGCTCTTAGGGTAAAGGAAGGTCTTCATCTGACCTTTGCCTTTGACATTAACTGTGCCACGGTAATCAAAATCATAATCCATGCTACTGAGCACACAGTAGCTCTCCTCGCTGACCTGGACGCGACACTCCACACCTGTCGTATCCATGCGACTGGCAATGTTGACTGTGTCGCCCCAGATATCGTAGAGAAGCTTAGTAGTGCCAATCACGCCTGCTGTCAGAGGACCATGATTGAATCCAATGCGGAGCTTGAAGCCGAAGCCCAGCATGTTCTTGTTGAAGTCATCCACCACGTGCATCATTTCTAGGGCAAATTCGAAAAGAGCACGGAGGTGGGCATGAGGATGTGCCGCGTCTGCACATTGCTGCGCATTGAGACCGGCTGCTGCCATGTACGTGGCACCGATGGTCTTGATCTTTTCGATGTTTGAGAAGGCAGGCTTCCGTAACAGCTCATCAAAGTCGCCAATTAGCTCATTGAGGACACGGTAGCACTCCTTACCTCCCTCATAGCTTTCCTCATAAAATTCACTGAAATTAACAATACTAGCAAATATTACCCCCACATTGTCGTGGTTCTTGGAGTAGCTCTGGGTGACCTTTAGCTGCTCTGCTACATGGATGGGGATGATATTGCGAAGCAGCCAGTCGGCCTGGTCCCTCATGTTCTGGATCTTGATGCGGTGTTGATCAGCTTCCACATTGCCATGGTAATGCAGGCGGTGACTGACCTCAAATTCACGGTTAAGGAACCAGACCAGGAGAAGCAGCAGGAAAAAGGCCACGCAGGCCTCAGGGCCCAGCATCTCCTGTGAGTAGGGCTGTGTGTCATGGTTTACTCGGCTGTCAGACATGACAATTGAGCTGTTACTGTTGTTGTTCTGCCTATCAGTCCTGGTAGAGAGAGAGACATAAAGAGGAAGAAAAAAATGCAGGGAAATAGAAAACAGAAGGTTGGAATAAACATTTTTTTTTGTCAAAATAAACTAGCAGGTTCTATAGCTGCAACTAATTAATCACAACTACAGAACCTTTTGGCATAAGCTGCGTACACCTCACCTAAGGCAATTTTTTCATGCAGGCAAGAATTGAACAAAAAAAAGTAAACTCCAAACACCCCAGTGGCTTGCGGCTTGGGATGCCAACTATAAACTGCAACATCCAAAGTTCAAGTTTGGCCAAGGCCCTTTGTTGCATCTCTGATAAAGGCATTAAAGCCCTTTGCTTTTTAAAAAAAAACAAAAAAAACTGTGACAAAAGCAATTCTATTAATAACCATTGTGCTTACCAGAAAAACAGACTCTTAGCAACGCTGGAAGAGATAAAAAAACAAGTGTCACTAATTAATGCAACAAGTACATCCATACATCCGACATAATCCCATGTATACTTCTTATCTTGAAATTTCAATGAGGGACCCAGTATCATCACATTATCTCTACACTATTATTCAACACACAATTTAATTATATCATGTTTTTTATATATATATATATATATATATTTTTTTTTTGGACGTTAAATTATGTTATAACATTTTATTCACATCTTCACAAATCTGTTGTACCTGCAGGGGGAGCTGAAGAGCAAGACAAGCAGTCCTAGTCCCACCAATGTTGCTAGAGTTGAGCGCATCCAGTAGCTGAGCTGGCAGAAATTACAATACTGAATGATAGCTATGATGACAGCACAGCAGATGAACGTGGTGAACTGCGGAAGATAAGGGGCAGAGAGAGCAATATTCATTTGTCAAAAGACGCCAGCAGAAGATTAACACATACTGTAAATTATACTGACTTCAAACTATGTTAACATGATGTACAGCTAAAAGACATATGTTGAATACAATTGATAACAATTCAGTGATGGAAATACTACAGGTAGCCCTACAGGTACCATGCTTTACTGGTCAGAGGCAAGGCTCACGTCCACAAATAAGAAAGAATAACTCTGCTATATAAGACAGCTGCCAAACTCAAAGTCCACCTGGATGGAGAGATGCATATCACAGGTGATGTGGGAGAAGACGGCCACAGTGGGCAGGGACACCAGAACAGCTCCTATAAAGTGACGAGCTATCCAGCCTGAGATCGCCCTCATCAGCATCCGAGTGCAATTCAGTGTACTCTCCAGGTAGAAAGCCATACTGGAGAGGAAAAACAAGAGGCAGTGATTGATACGGGTAACTGTGATGGATTAGAGATGTTGTAAACAAAGTGTTTATCTGATACTTGAGTGTCGTGTTTGACCCCAGCCTGATCCCACCTTGAATAAAAAACTGACTGCACACATGGTTGTCTCTAACTACGTGGCTCAAACCAAGGATCAGTAAGCAAGTAATATTACTCCGTTGAAGGTAGAGGAAAAACAGTCGAGCTACTCGTCTTTCCTCTCTCCTTGAGATTGTATTCCAGGAGAAACAGGAAGCTGTCACATTCAGCTCCACAAAAAGTAATTCATTATCCCTCTTGAAACTGTCTATCCTCCAGACAGTTCCAAAGCCTCCATTCTTTTAGATTAAGTGATGGACATTTTGGTGTCAGGTGCCACCCGTCAGAGTGCAGTTTGTCATAGCTGAGGTGTTAATGTTGGCAAGTTGCACAGATATGAGCAGCCTGCGAAAAGTCAATTTGTATGTTGTGAGTTTGCCTAAAAAAATAATTTCAATAATGATTTCCCAGCTGGATGTAACAATACATTTTTTTTTTTTACATGTCTCACAGGCTGGATCTGGCCAGTAGTTTAAGACCTCTAATCTGTATTCAGTAGCTCACCGTATAGAAAACAGCAGAGCTAGAGCCTCCAGCAGGGCGGCTACAGCTGTCAGAATGAGTGCTGGTGTGGATAAACTCTGCTGGGTGACAAGCGGTCGAAGGAAACAAGCCAGTGAGAGAGCCAGAAACACTGCAGAGCACAGCAGCATGTCCAGGAAAGAACTGAATGTTGGACTGGCAAAAGTCTGTACCGCTGCTTGGGTCTCCACCTGGGGGGGGTGGGGGGGGGGTATAAGGATGATGAAATGAAATAGAATTAAAAAAAGAAAAAAAAAACAAAAACAAAAACTGAAAAAGTCTCCATTCAAGATGAGTTTATTTATCAAACAATCAACAAACTGAATGATTTATGTAAGTCTAAAAATCTATCCCACTTCCTATGTCAGTGACTGTGACACCAGACTCAACAATGTAGCAACAGTTTGAGACAGAAAATGCACTTCTGAGGTTACACCAGCAGAGGGCATCACAACCTAACACAAAACTACTTTTAAGGTCCTGCAGTGATTTCTCTTTGCCGCAGTCTTGACCGATCTGGTCATAACGCAGTTCTAACAGGTTTCCTAGACGAGAACCAGACACAAAAAAAAAAAAAAAAAAAAAAAAAAAAAAAACACAAACCAGCAAAAAGACCAACACACACAAATACAAGCAGATATGCTCACGTATCAAGAGAGCAGAGGTTGGATGAGTGGAATCACAAGAAGGCACTGGTTTGAAAAACTCTCAAAAATAAACAAACGCACAAGTATACATGTACATTCACTACACAAACAGGCATGCAGGCACCATTATGTCACAACCAAACATAGCTCCTACACACACACACACACACACACGAACACACACCTCCTCCTGGTAGCTTATCCGGTAAGCAGACTCCAGGCTCTTCTCCAGGAAGGTGAGGCTCAGCTTGTTTATGGGAGGTTTGTAGAAATAGTCCTTCATGAGGCTGTCACAGGCAAAGAGTCAGTAGAAATGTTATACAGTTAGGATTTTAAATGTTATAATCAGTTACCTACCGAAAATCCAATCACAATTTCTCATTAACAACTGAGATTGACCGACTGATCAATTGTACATTATATGCAGTGATTTGGTTGATACATTTATTCATTCTCACCTGTCTTCTTTGATAACGTCCACAAAGTGGGCATCGCTCCTCTCCCTGAAGTTCTTGGATCGCAGGGGGATGAGCGCTGAGTGGTCCATGCCCATAGATCCTCCGCTCCACGTCTTCTTCTCCTTCTCCTGCAGCATCTCGCACAGCGACGTTTGGCTGTTGTTCAAGGCTTCCAGCCGGGGACTGAGCAGGCCGTTCAGAGCCTTGGGGGTGCGCCCTGCAGAAACCACTGGGGAGCGCTTCAGATTTGAAGAGTCCTGAGGAGAAAAGAAGGGAAGGAGAAGCCCGAGACAGAAGGTGTGATGATGGCTCTTTGCTATGGAAACAGGTCAGAAATAATATGAAGGAGTGTAAATATGAAATATAAAGCTTAAGAGTGTGCTATATTCAAATCAATTTCAAAGCATGTCTCTGTGGCACACTTTAACTGGGACTCATGGAGTTCTATTTCTTTGAACTAGTTTTGAGTCCTTCTTTTTGTTGCTGGGCCTGAGTAAATGTAAGAGTAGAGTAGTTCACGATGCCCCAGTATTTCATGGGAAAACAATGACATAAAATCTACTATACTGGATAAGGCACATGATGATAGCGACAAACCCTTTAGAAACTAAAAAGTCAGACATTTAACATTTTAAACAGAACGTAAACTGTCTCGTGTGTTTGGTTCAGTTAACAACAATAGGCTAACCTTGCTGCTGTTGGTCTTCTGGTCGTCATGGCACCCATTGAGCACCGCTGTTTCCTCCACAACTTGATCCTCCCCTGGTATCAGGACCACACTGCAGGACAGACAGGGAGACTGGATTGGGGTAAAGAGTTGGGGAGGGGGCAGTATGGAAGGGAGATGCAGCATATGGGAAGCAAGAGAATTAATAAATTGAGAGATACAGATCAAGGAGGGCATATGAGCAGAGTACAACATGAAAAGATGGCACGGGGCACGACAAAATGGCACAAAAGAGACGACAAAAACACACGCATCAGCTGTGATCACAACAGTGCTGCAGCAGCAAAAACACAAAACAAAAACACAAAACCTGACATTTAAACTCAAAAAGTCAACAAGTCTTCCATTGATTCCAATTTGAGCAACTTAATATCATTTATTTTTGTGAGGATTGTGTTTACAAGAGCAGCAGTAGCCAATGAGAAACCGAAAGGGAGATAGATAATAAACGAGAGGCGTAGAGGTGGTCTCGACGAGATCAAGGTCTTTATTTTCAACCCACTCGTCCCCTTTAAACACAATGCAAAGTGTGAGTGTGTGTATATGAGAATGAGATCAGTGTGATGTACTGCACTATAAATGACCGTGACAGTGATGTGCAAAATGTTGTTAAGTACTGAGAAGCAAAAACACACACGCACACACACACACTCACCCTATATAATGCACAAACACAAATGTCATTGAGATTTTTTTTTTTTTGTAAGTACACACGGCCGGTACAGTGAAACGCCCCCCACTGATTCTCCTTCCCCACATCATCCTCTATCCTCTTCCTAACCCTTTTTAACCAGCTACTACCCCTCCCCCTCCTCCACCTGGCCTGGCAGAAAGATCTGTGCAGGGATCATGGGGAGCACATGTGTGCAGAGAAAGGAGGATTAATTAGGGTGAATGTAGGGCACAGTGGTGCATGGTTTTGAGGGCAATTATAAGAGAATAATGTGTTGCACTGTTTTGGTGAGTCTGTGACCTAGTGGTACAATTTAAAAGAAAATGAGAAATTTCCCTTGAAGGCAGAGCTAAGGAGGACATAATGGATGGACATGATCTGAGCTGATGAGCATTAAGGGTCAGTTATTATGGAGATGTCCTGCTGGGGAGAACGGTACTTTCTAAAGCCTAATTAATAAGATCTCACTGTTTTGTCCTCTTTGTTCCTTATTAATAAGGATTTAATGAGGACTGGGGTACTACACAAATGGTGCATGAGGGCATGTATGTGAGTGCATGCGTACAGGTGCAATGAAAGTGAAGACGGAAATCAACAAAGACGTTCTAACTACGCAGGGTTCCCAAATGTTAAATCATGTAATTACATGGAACAAAAAAACACGGAACAAAAAAATTCAGACGATATGGACGTAATCCTCCTTTTTCTGTCTCACATCCTTATCACAAGACAAAAAGAAACTTTTTGCATTGGAAAAAATGAAAAAAAAATTTTTTATAGCTTCTGATACACCCACATAAACAAAAAGACACAGAGCAAAAAAGATGAACATCAAAGAGGCTGTAGCACAACATGCAGCCCAGCGTTCTTCCTCAGGCGATGAAGAAGCGCGATGAAAAATGATCCAGAAAATATACTCACTTCCTCAACATACATGGCTGATGTTTCAAATAGTTTTCTCAGAAATAGTGTGCACTCACCATGGCTCTCTCAGGACCCACGTTGCAGGCCGAAGGGGCTCCATCAGGTGTGTGCACTCTGGGCGTGGGAGACCGAGGATCTGCATGCTCTGCTCCAGCCAAACCCAACTGGGAGCAGCTACAGTGAGAGTGAGGCTCCACCTTCCTGCCAGAGATCAGATAGGTCTTCAGGCCTGGACAGAGACAGAAAAAGAGATAGAGAGAGAGAGGGGGGATGTAATTAGAACAGGTTTGAGTAGGGTTTAGTCATCCCTGTGTGGATGAAGGCACTGATAGTTGTGGAGTTGTTTTAGGATTCAGCAGAGGCTCGGTACTCAGCAGAATGAATTCCCTTGGTGAATTATATAAGCAGGCACTGACATAGAACTGGAACCAAGACAGAGAGAGAGAGAGAGAGAGAGAGAGAGAGAGAGAGAGAGAGAGAGAAGCACTGAATATCAATCTCTCCCACTTGGAAGAACCACCAAAGTCATACAGAAGTCATTCTTGTTTCCATATATATATATATATATATATACACAGTATACAGTACATAAACATGATGTGTGGTGCATTTGTGCAGGATTCTTTTCGTTTTTTCTTATTTAAAGTCAGACAGATGGGCTGAGAGAAATGTGTGGTGCTAGAGAGGCTAACACCAAGACATGAGCAGTTAACGCTTCTTTAAAAGAGACAAGTTTTGTCCACTATCAATTCTTTTGCACCCTACTTATCACACCTACAATTTCTGTGTCTAAGTCCATAATCCACCCATACATCCTTCAAAGATCTATTTTTCTCTGTTATGAGATCATCGCTCTGTCACGTATGTATCATACAAACACGTGTGCATCTTTGTGTGGGGTTCATGCATGATTATCCAATGACCATGAGGCAGTTTCAGCTTTCAGTCAAAACAGGCCAGGGCCAAATATTTGAACACCTGCTACCTCCCTCGTCTATCAACATGTTCAACATGTTATCATTTGCATTGTGCCTGCAAGGTGTGTGTGCATGTGTGTGTTGCGACCATTAGCCCAAAAAATTCAGCTTTCTGAACTGACCAATTTTCCCCAAAACAATGACAAAACATGGAAATGTGGAAACAAACATTTGGTGCTGCTGGACACAAAGTATTTCCCCTACTTAGCTGAGACATAGATGCCTTGAAATGCACAGGACTGAGTATTCATCACTCCCAGTAACATTTCTTCCTTCTTCTCAGCAAACTTAGACAACTGGGTCACCAGGATGCTCCCGCTGAGCAATTTTAATCACAGACATATGGCTCACTTCCTGTTTCGTTCTTTGGTGCCAACATTATTGCTCTGATAAATACATAGACAAAGCGATAGATAGTTTGACAGATAGAGAGACAGCTGATACACCTTTAGTGTTTATCACCTTAAAACAAGGCTATTCAGTCCACTTCACTGAGAATAAGTAGAACAAGTGTTCAGGACTGACTCCTACACCCTTTGTCTGCAGGACTGTATTGTGACAAGTCACAACCACAGTGACCGGTATCTGTGTGTGTGCGTGTGTTTGTCAGTAGCACAGGTAAGTGCCTGTGACCGTGTGCTTAGCCATATAATTCAACTGTCAGTGAAGCCACAGCCTCGGGCTCTGAGCATTGTCTGCCCTAAGTACTTCAGACAGGCCTGCCACTGCCTTGCCTCTGCTGAGCCACCCTGGGGCTGCACTCTCTGACAGATATACACACACACACACGCGCGCGCACTTATGCACGTATGACACAAGGGTACACTGTCTCTTCCGCAATGATACACATTCACAAACAAAACTTATGGGACAAATACTGAGATAAGTAGCTGAGGAGGAAAAAAAATAAAGAGAATAACATGCACACAAAGAGACAGATGTAAATACAAGAGCAATTATGAGATGCTTGCAAAAAAAAAAAAAACACCCCCTCCAACCACCCACACACCCAGTCAAACACATATACACACACAGCAAGCGGAGGTGTAGATGGACAGCCTCGCTGTAGCTGGATCGATAGCCAGGTGGATGAGGATTCAGGGATGGGAAATGAAGGCAGTAAACAGCAGTAACAAAGAACTCATTCCCTGCACCAGTGATGCAGAATGGCACAGCAGACGAGAAGAGGCAGCAGGAAACTGAAGGGAGCTTTTGACTGCCTCTGAGAATGACAACGCATGAGTGTGACTGTGCGTCAAAGACGGATCCAGAGTCACAAACATGCACAACGCACACACACTGAGTTGACTGATTTCATTAGTTAGCTAATGAAATCTTTCCCTGCCTCCCAGCACGATATACACTGATTTCTACTTCTGCTCATGGGTCATTGAGGTTACCCCCCCCCCCGTTTCTTTGCTCTTATTCTTAGTCTTCCCCTCAACTTGGGGAAGCACCACAGGTACAGATGTCTTTAAATAATGCAGGTAAGGCAGCAAAAAGATGTCTGACTGTAGGCAGACATTTGCATATAGGTCTTACTGTTTTCTTGTCCGTTCACCGAGATTTCTGCATGCCAGATTGCGAGCATTTGAGTCAGAGAAACAGTCACGTTGTTTCACAAAACTACTAACATATGTGAGTCATAATGTATTATTTATTAATATATTTCGAGTCACGATTAATGCAAATCCGATATCTGCTGTAAAAGCATTGGTGACTGCTGAGCAATGTTAAAACTGCATGACGGGGACCAAGCCAAATCCACCTAAACAGAAATCACTGGACCGTTCAGCCACTATTCCCCAATACTGTAACAGCTTATTAAAGATAATGAAGTGTTTCAAGCTAGATAATACGCTTTTCAACACATTGCTGGAGAGAATGGATGAAAGGCAGAGCAGAAAATATTTGATAATGGATTAAAGAATAACAACTTAAAAAAATAGACTTATAACAGACATTAAAAACAAGATGCTAAACACAAGCCTGGACAAGAGGTAAACACAACAGGAAAAAAGTGGGTCAAAAGTAAAAAATAAAACTCTCAAAACTGAAGGAGACAGTAACAAGCTGATAGCTCAGGGAGGTGACGTGAGATCAGCTGTGGCCTGCCCTCTCCATCACTTCCTGTTAGATTTTGACTAGCAAAATAACTGTGTTGCTGTCTTGACTTCAGACATTTCAGTATTTCGAGGAAGAGAAACATGGGTCAAGCTTATGGACAGGAATCCATGGCCATCCTTTCCACAGGTTAATGTGGATGTATGTACGATCAATCACATCTTGTTGTAAGACAGCTAGTTTCAAGGAATCACCTCACACCGCAGAGTCCTGACAGCCAGAGAAGCACAGGATAAATCGACTGCGGGGGCTTGAAAAAGTGCACAGTATGTTATCTGTGTGTGTGTGTGTGTATGTGTGCGTGTGTGTGTGTGTGTGTGTGTGTGTGTGTGTGTGTGTGTGTTTGTATGAGGGGTTACATGGGTTCAAGTGTGTGCAGATGTTTGTGTGCCTGTTCCTGGCCATTCGAGGACAAATCTCTCGTCTTTACGATCCAACCTCGTGGCAGCTGGAATTGCAGTGTTGTCAGGCAGTAAAGTGCGGCTCGGTTTAACTGGTCTGACCAGCAGCTGGCTCCACTGTCCACTTCAACAGGGTCCAACATCATCAGAATACAGCTGTGCTCTAAAGGCCTCGCCGCAGGGAAAAAGGTCAGGGAACTTCATGCTGTGTGTTCCGATTGATGTGTCTTGTTTCTTTCCAGCTGTGCTTGCGTGTGCGTGTGTGTGTGTGAGTGTGAGTGTGTGACTATCCATCTGCCAGTCTGTGCACATCTGTTTGATGATCTGTGATACAGGTACATGCGTGTGCTGGCCTCTTTCCATCTCTGATGACCCTGGGTAATTGAAGAGCATCCTTAGTGGCAGCCTCTGGGCATTATGGGACTTCAAGTGTACTGTCCTGTGCTATCAGCTGACAGGGAACAGTAGATAACCTTTCCCCATGAGAGCTCAGTCACATTATCTCCCTCTCCAAGCCCCTTTGTTCAGGACAGAGGAGAGCGACATGAGAAAAGCTCTTTGCAAACAAATAATACATCCTCTGCTGCTCCCTTTCTCGCGCCTCGTCAGAGCACGTCCATGCTCTTCTGGGACAATGACCGTCCCTGAACCCCCCCCATGATGCCAAGAGTAGCTCGGTGCTAGAGGCTGGGTGTGCCAAACAAACATACTCAAAACGTGTGGATGCAACTCACACGTCATGACTGCAGTGATCATTTCAGACGTTCTAAAAGTAACTCTTCATCGGCCCGGGGAAAATCACCAGGTTCAAAAAGCGTGGATGCTCCACACCCTTACACTGCCGTCTGTACAGCAAAGCACACAAATAATGAGAAAAAAAAGGAAGCGCCCATTTGCACCCAAAGTGGGACTGAGCAGCCAACACTGCTGTCCCAGGGAGGTTTACTAAAAGCAGCAGCACACAGATGGCAACAGAGAGCAAAGGAGAGTTGGAAGATATGTTTGGATCAGTGTACACACAGACACAAAAACAAACAAACACAAACATATCATGCGCCTGATCTACCCATACTGACAGGTTTGCCTTCCAGGGCCAGGTAGTGGAGCAGGAGGGCAGTGGAGCAGGTGGTGCAGAAAAGTAGCACTGCTAGGCTGGGCAGCTCTCTCTGCCAGTTGGCATTGCCAACCAGTCCCCCCCTTCCTACGCCCTACTGCGCCTCTGTACTGGGATATACACTGTACATCCTGTCCCCGTCGGGGGTGGAAGAGGGCAGGAGGGACAGGAGGGAACCTGTCCAGCATGACAGGCTGTTTAAGAGGACTTTATTACTGCAGCACGGTTCGCAGAGGAGAGGAGGGAGAGATGAGAGGCACAGATTGCAGAGATTTTAGGAACAGTTAGAGCAGAGAAAAAAAAATACATGGAAAGGAGCGGAAGACAATGGATAGAATGAGTCTGTGCGTTGGTTGGTAGTGGTGCTAGAATGAAAATGTTTGCGGTGTCTGTGAGTGAACCCATTCAGTCAGAAAACATGAAAGACACATATGCATTTTTCATAAGGATTCACAGAGGCACTCACACTGTCATTTCTGACAGCAAAAGAGAGGCAGAGAGCCTGTGTGTGTGTGGACGGGGTGGGAGTGGGGGAGGGTGAGTGTTGACCTTCCTCTTTACAGATGAGCCCAGGTTACTTCTGAGGCATTAAAGGGCATCTAAGAAGGTGAGG